CAAAATATTTTTGAATCCAAAATTGATAAAGTTAAAACCAAATTTCCAAATTCCAAATTTGAAGTTGATATAAAAACAAATTGAGGTTCCTGTGAGTTTTTATTTAGGGCGTTATACCACAAACAGCCACCGGGTGCCATCCAAACTCTGTAGAATTTTTGTTGATGCATTTTTCTGTCACGAAGGTCTAAATTTCTCTGTCAATATTACTTCTATCAAACAATAACCACCGAATATAGAATCTTGAGACTCAGACCTTTCCAAATATATGTATTTTGTCAAGATTATAAATACATTTTGAAAATATGACACTTGACTCCACCCACTAAGGGGAGGAGACTGCTAAAAAGATTTTAAAGTACCATTTCCATGGTAAAGCAATGTCCGATTTAAAAATGGTTTTCACAGGATGAATTCTGAGGTTTTAAGCTTTCAAATGATATATAATTACTAAAATATGTGATAGAGAAAAAAGATAACAACAAAAAAGAGATCCATTGGGCCCACCTGTGGGCCGGCAGCACTTAAGGGGTTAAAAGAGTACAAAGATATTTTTATCACTCATAACTTCTGGAGAAAAACAGCGCAGACACTGGACAAAGATGAAGCTTTCTAGAGCGCATGTGGCGACTGCCTGCGTTCACGCATGCTATCAAATAGAGTATAGTTTGAAAGGCTACGCATTCGAGTGTACGCATACAAAAGCGAAGTATACTTTGGGCTTAATGTTCAAACTCAGACCCGTTGGTTTGCTGTTAACACTCTTGGTCATGGAGAATATAAGCAGAGCAAATGTGTACGACTGGTGTTATTGAGCTAAATCGAACTGCCAGCTGAGAAAGGCTTGATATGTCTTGCCAGACCTCTTCTTCTTGAAGTCTTAAATGAGTTTGTTTTTGTCTCAGATTGGGTTCAAGAACATGGAGAACGTGGAGCAGCTTCCCCTGACCCTGGAGAAGGCCGTGCAGCTGGTGAAGGATGTGTTCATCTCGGCCGCTGAGAGGGACGTCTACACCGGAGATGCCCTCAAGATCTGCATCATCACCAAGGAAGGCATTCGAGAGGAGATCGTGCCGCTCCGGAAAGACTGAGACGTCTTCTCAGCCATGCCAAAATTAGCCCGTTTTTGTCTTTCTCCGGTCGCATCCTTCAATCTGCTGTTCCTTTTATATTCCTTCTCAAGAATAAATATGGTAACCGTATCAGTATTGTCTTTCTTTCAGAGTGTTTTGTCAGTTTGAGAACTGCAGGTTGTCCTTATGGGGACACTGTTGAGCAAAACAGATTCTCTTGAAAACACACATTTGCATATTGATCGTACAAGTGGTAAACGTCTGTCTACATGCGTAGAAATGAAAACCATTGCATCTATCTGTCAGTGTTCCCTGTGTGCTTGTTTTGATTGATCGTACAAGTGGTAAACGTCTGTCTACATGCGTAGAAATGAAAACCATTGCATCTGTCAGTGTTCCCTGTGTGCTTGTTTTCTATATTAAAAACTCAATGATTATATTCAGCTTTAATTTTAACACTTGCAGTCAACTTCAGCAAAAAGCTCACTCTTTTACAGTTCTATTCTTAAATGCATCTATTTTACACAATTAAACTATTTATTTTAAACAATAACAAATGTGTGTAAGATTAACCTCAACAAGTTTTGCTCTAAAAATGAGAATCTATCTCTCTATAGCAAAGATTTTAGACTTCAATATTAAGGATGGCCAGATACTATATTTCCCCCCAAAAAGTATTGTATTATAGAGATGTGTTGTTGATTTTGTGATAAGATGGTATATATATATATATTTTTTCTACTCACAATCAAGAGTAGCTACATGCATAAACCTGAAAAGAAACATATTTAATCAATTCAGATTTACTGGTATTGCATTTTTCACAGTAAATATGATTTAAAGAAGAGTGCCTTACAAAAAAAGACAACAGGAATGAGTGAATTTTCATTTCATGCTGACTCCATTACAAAGCGACTTCATCATTTTTGTTAATCCATGTAACCAAAACTTTAAAGCCTCAAGCCTAAAAAGATGTTGTGAACGCAAACGGCTTGATTCTTAAAATGTCTTTATGAATTTTGATGTGGGACAGTTTTGCTTGTGTGAACTCTCACGTCAACAAGCTCATATAATCAATATCAACATTCTTGCTGCTGAAAACAAATATACTGTATTTCACTGAGCATCTAACATTTGACTGTCACAGCTAAAATACAAGGTTTATCAAATGCTCGTCAGCTGCACACATACAGTGTGTCCTATGGAAGCCCGTTTCCGCCACTGAATACAAAAATTAAAAAAAAGTAATTGCGGCTTTTTATCTCACAATTCTGCCTTTTTTTCTCAGAAAAATTAAAAAAAAGTAATTGCGGCTTTTTATCTCACAATTCTGACTTTTTTTCTCAGAATTGTGAGATATAAAGTCACAATTGCTAGATAAAAACTCGCAATTCTGACTTTTTTTCTCGCAATTCTGACTTTTTTTCTCAGAATCGTGAGATATAAACTCGCAATTGCAAGTTAGGCTATAAAGTCAGAATTGCGTGATATAAACTCGCAATTGCGAGTTAAAGTCCAATTTTGAGGGGGGAAAAAAGACTGATATGTTCTCAGAATTGCGAGTTTATATCTAGCAATTGTGACTTTATAGCTCGCAGTTGTGCGTTTACATCTCACAATTTTGTGAAAAAAAGTCAGAATTGTGAGATAAAAAGTCGCAATTACCTCATTTATTTTTTATTCAGTGGCGGAAGCGTGCTTCCATCCCTGTTGAAAAAAACAGCATATGCTGGTTAGGTATGTTTTGACGCTGGGATGCTGGTTTAAGCTGGTCCTTTGCTGGTTTAAACTGGTCCTGCAAAGGACCAGCATAAACCAGCAAAGGACCAGCTTAAACCAGCATCCCAGTGTCAAAACATACCTAACCAGCATATGCTGTTTTTTTCAACAGGGATAGTGTACAGCTTTGTAATCTAATGTTTTTTTTCTTCTGCATGACTGGTAACTTTTATCTAATTGAGAACATACTAACAATATATGACAATTTATTTATTCTTGTTTGTTGGGGAAATGGTACACTTTATGATTTGTGTGAAATCAAAAAAGAGCTTCAGTTGCTTTCTCTTGATATTTTAAAGCTCGGTGAGCTGTATTAAAGTTTTTCAAAACAGAGGACACTGTGCAATGTTTTGTTTAGAGAATATTATGCATGTAATTTAAATGGAAATATAGGCCTACAATCTGTGTTAATTGTTTTAACTGTAAAATGTGGCGTTTTGTTCCTGAATAAATCAATGACTGAAGACACTTGTCACCACTTACTGGTGCAATGATGTAACCTGTGGAAGGAGTCACTGAAAACCACTTCCCACCCCTCATAACTGTATTATGTCAAGGGTCGCAACCATGGCACACAAAAAAATGTATAAGGTAGATTACAGTACATATGGCATATGCTTTCCTACTCAATATTTAACGCATGAAGGACAGCTCACACGAAAACATCCTGCGCATGTTCAATCATACCAACCTGTCACTGTTTAAAAAAAGTCATTTACATTTACATTTAGCAGACTTTTTTATCCAAAGCGACTTACAAATGAAGACAATAAAAGCAGTCAAAACTAACAAAAGAGCAACAATATATAAGTGCAAATGACAAGTCTCGGTTAGCCTAATGCAGTGTAGGAAGGTATATATATATATATATATATATATAAGTGAGTGCAGGTACAACTGCAGGAGAAATGGCTTGAAGGAGATGAGATGGAATAGGATCAAGCAGACAAGTAGTAGGATGATTGGAAAGGATGAGTTTAGAGACTTCTGCCTCAGAGAGTGGAGAGAAGGATGAAAACGAGTGTATTTTTGCTGGTAAGATGTGTTTGACAGTTTGTGGTGTGGCAAATTGTGCACCGAGGTTTGTAATTTTATTAATGAAGAGCGTGGCAAAGTCGTCAGCTGTTAGAGTTGATGAAGGAGGGGGAGGAGGAGGACAAAGGAGGGAGGAAAATGTTTTAAAGAGCATGCGAGAGTTAGGCGAATTGTTAATTTTGTTGTGATAGTATGTCCTTTTAGCAGTGGAGGCATTAGCAGAGAATGAAGAGAGGAGTGATCGATATTCATTTAGGTCAGTCTCACATTTTTTAACCAAACCACGCGTTTTTTTTTTTAAGTTCAGAAAGACATTATTTTTCAAAGTTAAACAGTAAATTAAACTGCAAAACTTGAATAAATGGAAAGATCTGAAAGATCTTGTTGTGGTTCTAAATTGGGCGCTAAGCACTTCACTTCCTCGTTCTCGAGTCATCATGACCTCAGTTCCTTGCTCTGAACTTCAGCATAGATCACTGCTGTTTATCAGTCCTGCTGCCCTACAGCTCATTTCCAGAAGCTTGCTAAGCAAGCTCTTAAACACACAGAAATAGATATTCAAGTGACTCTTAGCAAAAATGAGGTTAAAGGGAAAATTAAAGAATTCATAAACAAAATGGCAAGAAGTATGGAACTGCGATAGCAAGGGCAGACAAATGTATAATATTCAGCAGCAAGTACGAAACGGAAGAAGTGTTTTTAGGAATAGGAAAGAAGACACAATTATTTCTCGCATCCGAATAGGGCAGACTAGATTAAATCACTCTCTGTTTAATATAGGAAAACATGAAACAGGTCAATGTATTTTTTGTAATCAAGCAGAAACAATAGAGCACGTTTTAATAAAATGTAAAAAAAAAAAAAAAAAGGTTAAAACTCATTAAGGAAGTAAGAAACATGGGTGTTGAATAATTTAATTTGTCAAGGCTTTTGAAAGAGCATGCAGAACAAGGTAAAATATATGGTGCTATTATAAAATACATTAAAGAAATAGGATTAATCAGGAGAATTTAGTTTTTTGTTTAATGTATGTATATGTGTGTATATATATATATTAGTTGCTTATTAGTGCTTCACACTCCAGTCCAGTTGGTGGCGGTAAATGCACTAGAAGTTGGTTTGCCATCCGCCATAACACGTTATTAGAAGAAGAAGAAGAAGCTCATTTCCAGCTATTTCCTAGAAATACCTGCGATTCACTCGCGATATCTGGTAATGGTATTGTTGACTGTGTATTTTCGGTTTGTTGTATTGTGTGATTATGTCTGTAGTGTGTATATGTTATTATTCCCTCACTGTGCATGTTGTTCTCTAGCACAGAATGGCAGTGGACTGGCTGGGCTTTGCCTATGCTGCAGCTCTTGCTCTGGGCGGATTCATGGGCTATAAAAGAAGAGGTATTTGTTAATTGTGCTGATGTTTTTATGCATCTTTTAAAGGGAACTTGTGCAGCTGCCAGATAATGATATGATCACAGTTAAAAAAAAAATCTAACTTCTAATAGGTTTCTAAATCTAAAATGTATGTCAGTTTTCGTGGTTCTAATAGTTTTAAGCATTATGCACCATTTTTATTTGTATTGGAATATAATTGCAAAGCCATAATATTCGTTTAAACTCTTATTTAGACATACTTTGTCTGCAATCTCTATCCATCCCATAACATCCCTGTACTTTATTGTAAGGGATTGGTGGAGATATTTAATATAATGACTGACTTCTGCAGGAAGTGTGGTGTCGTTAATTGCCGGACTCTTCTTTGGAAGTGTGTCTGCATATGGAGCATATAAAATAACAAATGATCCGCACGATTACTGGACCTCTCTAAGTAAGTATAAAAGTACAATCACTAATGTCGACCATTCAGAAATACTCTGCATATATCGGCTTTGAACTTCCTTTTTCCACACTAGCCGCTGCCGGTGTACTGACACTTGTGATGGGAATGAGGTTCAGGAAATCTGGAAAATTAATGCCTGCAGGAATCATGGCAGGACTGAGGTAAATCTCTAAAGTTTGTGTAATGAAAATGTCCGGTGTTCATAGAATCACAGTTGAAAAATATATAAATTCTTGTGTTAAGAAGATATTTTGAAGAATGTGGGTGACTGAACAGTTGCTGGTCCCCATTGACTTCAATAGTAAGAAAAACAAATACCATGACATTCAGTGGCATTTGAGTAAATGATGCCAGTGTTCATTTTAGGGTGACTTCCAGAAGTCATGTTTTCACACACTAACACTAGGAAGAATGATTTTTTTGATATGCTCCAATAGATCAATATTATAGCTAAAGCAAATGCATGTTACGTCACACTGACAGGTGCAGATGTGGCATGATGAGCCGTCTGTTTATTTTGCTGGTTCGGTGTAAATGCTCAATCAGACGGTCTTCTGTTTTCAGCCTCCTGATGGTTTTGCGGCTTTTGATCTTCTAAGTGCTCGTGGACGGACCACACTGGGACCTTTCTCACGACATCTGATGTGTTCATGTCACAGTATTATCACTTTGTAATCATCAAGTTGTATCTTGAACATTCCAAATAAATCTGTTGGTTTTAGAGTCTCAGCTTTAATCTTGCAAGCTTGCAGATTAATTGGTGATTAACATCATCTAACGGTTTTGAATTCATTGGGCCTCCTGCTTAAAAAGGTGGCTCAACACCGCCATCACGGTTTTCACATACACCTCATCGGGTGGAGGTTTTCTTGCACTGCCAGGCTGGAGAAACTTGCTGATTGTTGGGAAGGCCTTCATTTTCTCTTGAGACGCCTGCAAAACAAATGAAAGGTTATACAGTGCTTGAAGAAGGGCATTCATTTTTATCAGATAAATTACCTTTATCTTCATTAAAACTGGACCACGGTACTCTATTACTGTATATCTGACAACCAGTAGTGCTTTTTATTTTTATCAAATACACTAATTTGTACGGCCAGTGAAACTTGACATAATTCTGGCTGTTTAAGAATGCTCTTGTAATACACTGTAACTCTAAAACATCATATATTGAAAAAAACGTAAAAATGTTGTTGGGTGCCTGTGTGGGAAGCACCTGGATTTTGGGAAAGGCTGAAAGTATGGTAGGGAGCAACTCCTGCAACATCAGAGAGGCTTCAAGAAGGTGGACGTCAGCACGGCTCAACTGGTTTCCCACAAGGAACTGAGAGTTTGCAAGACCCTACAAACCAGAAACACACCATAATTGCACAGTTTCATGCCTCCAATGTGGATAATCATGCATGGCATAAATAGTCGTCGGGCAGAGCTGTCAGTACCTTTTCAAACACAGGAAGAAAGTGATCTGTGGCCTTCTGCTCTATATTACTGAGGTGAATCTGTGTGTTTTCAGCTGGTTTGAAAGGATACATAATAATCAGTGTTGGGGAAAGCTACTTTTAAATAACGGTACTTAGTTACTTTTTATGGAAAGTAATGCGTTACGTTACTTTCACGTTACTTTTTAAATCTGGACAGGGCTTGCTTGTTTGTTTCTAAAATAAAAAAGTTCTATTTTTGGCAAATATAAAAGCCTTTTCACACCAAAAGTGAAATGAATAAGCCTCAGGCTGAAGGGAAAGTAAATTTACGTCCGTACAGTAGAATGCAGAAGAAGACATTTCAACACACTTCAGCAATAAACAAAACACACAAATGTGCGTCTAGAGTAATTTGTGCTTATTAGTACGCTTGAACTGGATCATCGAAGGTCAGAAGCAAAGACATTGCTTAATAGAATGGGATTAAATGCATAAAGGATATTTGTGTTGTTTAACATTTAATTATTGCAGGTTTGCGTCATATTCTGAGTTGCATTATTTTTATTAATATTGAGGAATACTGAATCCGTGTTTTTTTTTTTTTGTGTGAGTGAGATGAATTAATGCATATTCATATTTATTTTAGAACTACAGTAACATCTGATTTCTGTCACCATGGCAACACCAGAGCTGTCAATCAATCAATTGGAAAAAAAGTAACTTACTTACGTACTTATTTGAAAAAGTAACTCAGATATTCTCTTGTAAATTAAAAAGTAATGTGTTACTTTACTAGTTACTTGAAAAAAAGTAATCTGATTACGTAACTCGCGTTACTTGTAATGCGTTACCCCCAACACTGCTTATAATCATATCATTAGATCGCTGGCAGCCTCTGAATACATGTCGATCCTTCAGGACAAAAACATGCATTCAGTGATAATTGCTTAGGTGTGGCAGAAAAGCAAGGCCACTTGGAATCATATCGATTACAAAACACTTTTCATAAACAAAGTTGACTTTTACATAGCCCGTTCTTTATGGTCTTTTGCATATAGGCTGCATTTTCCAGCGATGTAATGCAAGATAGCCTTTGACTGCACGAGCTGCATCCCGTCCATTTCAAGCAAAGGCACCTGCTGAAACATCAGGGCTCCATCTACATTAATCATACGGACTGCATTATTATATACGGTCATAAAACAACACGAGATTAGGAATTTAGTGAGTAGTTAACATACCATTGAGCAGTTTCTCATACTCCTCTCTTTTGGTCAAAAACACTTCCTCAAACGGTAAAGACACATTCACAAATGTCATTTGCCATGCATACTATTTGCAACTATGTTTTAGTCGTGATTACAGCCGTCTATGATATGAAATAAGTGTATCGCAAGTCGTTTTATTGCGTAATGCGCCACGCGTCAGTACTCTAGTCAAATAATAATCGTGACTCGTCAACATACAGTCGTGACTACATCAAATATCACTCGGATTGTCAATCCAAAGCGTTACATATTATGTGCACAATGTCTTTAATATATAAACTAAACAGAAACTAAATAATCTTGGTCCACTGAGTGACAGCTACTCTCAGTTTGCGTACGCCGATGGACCCTTTTCACATTTCCGGTTTCTCAGCAGCAGCGGAAGTCGTCACAGTTGGTTTAACTTGAAGAGCGGTGAATGGGAGAGCACCACAAATATATATTTTTTGCATTCCCATTTGCTCAAACAGCAATAGAAAGACTCCACGATAGTGTTTTCCTGGCTTTCAATAAAAGGGAAAAAACTGAGAGACTGATAACGGCTGTCAGAAGAGAGAACGAAGTCAAATTTACCGTCCCTCCCGTAGACGCTGCATTAGAACGTTAACGTTAACTAGTTGTTGTTTTTTTTGTAATTTGATGCAAAGGTAATATAATAGAAAAAATAGTGTTATAAATGTACATACATTTTAAAAATACAATACAAATATGAAAAACTTTCGAGGATTTATGATGCTGGTGACCGTTAAACGCGTCATCACAGACTTGTGAAAAGGGGCAGCAAAGCATTGTGGGAAATACCAACTGTTTTAGTTTCAAAAGAGTATAATAAACGAATAAATACACCGTTTGTATTCGTGTCGTGTTTCATACATCTATATTTGATCGCGCAAGTATCGCGTACGTGTGAAAGCAGTGACTTGATGTGAGGTTACCGTCGAAGAGAAATCACGCTCGCGTCTGAGGTATATATACTGCGTGAGCGGGCGTTTGTTCTCGGATGTGAGGGCGATCTGGCTGCGACATCTGTCACCCCATTGATCGCTAGGGTTGATTCGGCTGATCTGGCAGGCTAGGCGGGTGTCCCCTTCCTCCCTCACCGGTCCATGTGTGTCCCTCCCGAAGCTCCGCGCTCGGTGGAAGAGGACGAGATCCCCGGCGGACGATCGTTGGTATAGAAGTAGCTGCGCTCCCCTGCTAGAACCTCCAAACAAGCTCAAGGCCCATTTGTAGGAGAAACGTAGGGAAGTCGAGCTCCAAGACTTCAAACACATCCAAATGAGGCACTGCATGTGGCAGTCTGCCTTTCTTTTGTCAATCAATGCTTGGAAAAACCATTATCAAGTTTAATTATCACCGTGTCCTAACTACACGCGACGCGATGAAAGGTATCTTTTCCATGTTAATCGGAGGTTTTGTCCTAACTAGCCGCGACGGCTATTTCCGCGGCTGGAACAACAACACGACAGTAGATAATCTCAGTTGATTATGTGCTTTATTCAAAGTTAAACGTGTTTAATATGAGTTTAAATATCATACTGCGTGACCTTATAGCCAAACTGAAAGCAGCGATAGTTTACCTCAGATCTTGAAAATAAATAAAAGCAAAGATGGCCGTTAAAACTGTGGACTCTGCTAAACAACGAGTGTATTCCACGAAGAAGATGTTAACAGTCACTCAGTATGTACATTTAATTATGTTAAAAAGCCTGAATATTTATGAATTAGATTATAAACGTATAATAAATGAAAAGAAAACAGATAGAATACAAAAAGATTATAAAACAAGTGTTAGTTTTTTTTAAAGAAAACAAGCAGCAAATTAATAGAGTGCAAGTCTAAAAGGGACAAGTGTTTTTTTTTT